AACCCGTATGGATTGTGCCTAGGCTAGATAATTGGTTCCATCTAATTTAATTGTGGTCACACCAATCAAAAAGGAATCAACTGGACCAACCCCAGATATCGGCATCTTCTTCATTTCACTTCCAGATTGCTCCATTGATCAAACGAAAATCAAAAAAACTAGTTGTTTAGTCTTTACAGACATAACTGAGGTCAATACAGTACCCGGAGATTCAAACACGGGTTTCACTGCACCCGGCTACCAGAGCTTCCCAACCTTCTTCAAATCTCAACCGCACACTTCTGGGGATCAAACTACACCTCCCAAGCCCTAAGCACCACACCCAATCCTTCTCCTTAACCTGTAACTTGAAATTTCTATAGTCAGCTAGGGTTTTAGGCAAAAAAATTACAGCTTCATTTCCTAGCAATTTTCAGCCAGATTCTAACTCTCCAAACCCTCTACCAACTAGGCAAATAGTCCTCTGATTGATCAACAACTTATCTCTCCATACACTCTTCTAATCGAAGGGTGTATGGGGAAAAAAAAAAAAGAGAAAAAGAAAAGAGGAAGAACTGCTATGATACCAAGATGTGAATCTGTCCTTCAAATTTGATACAAAACTGATAAAAAATAAGAAAAGTGAGAGAGAAAAGAAGGTTACAGTTAGAATAGAAGAAGAGAAAGGAGAAGAGAGTTCGATGGGTTTCTCTCTCCCTTCACTAATCTTCTATTAATCTTAATAAATTATGCTAATTACAAGTCTGCCCTTTAAGTGGGCAGCCAGCAAAGCAAGAACTTAAAAGAAATTAAAAAGAGATCAACAGGCCCATTAACTCATACAACAGATAGAAAACTACTTAAACATAAAACAAATATTAGGGCCCATTCGGCCCAGTCTCTCTACAGAACCCGCTGAGCCTGTATGGACATGTTGCTGTTTAACCATTTGAGCTTCTTAATTTCATCCCTCTATAGCCACACTACAGCCTCCAGAATCCTTAGCCAGCCCACCACCTTCGTATCCCCTTCATTGACTAATCCTTCAATGTTTACTTCTCTTGCTAGTTGCACCCCTTTAACTACCACAAGGATTTCAGCCCTTAAGGAGTCCCCTATACCAATTGGACCGAAATACAAAGATATTATGTTGTCCTCTTCATTTCTGAAAACTCCCCCTAGCCTTGACTACTCCCATTTTGGGTACAAAACTACCAACCCAGAGGTCTTCCAAAAACAAAATTTTATTCCCAGAACAAGTTTTTCAAGTGTTATAAATAAAATATAGTGGGCTGGCTGACTATATGTTAGTCTTTTTATTTTTCTCTTTATATGTTAGCCTATGTTATTGGGTCATATGTTTTTGTTCTTGTTGCCACCTAATGAGGCACATATGGGTTCTTCTCTTTCTCCTGTTTCTTCTTTTTCTTCCTTCACAGGTTTGTATACACGGTATCAGAGCACTGAAATCAACTAGAGAATCTAATTTAATCCTGCTTCTTCCTATTCTCAGACCTGTCTTTTGTTTGTCCTTTTTGATTTGCACCATCCAGAAGCCCTAGATCTGATCATAAGTTATGAAAACCAGACTCTAAGGTTCTTCCTTGGGTGTAGGAACCAAGGAGAGACCTAAGTTGAATGAGTTATGCCCTACTAGGGTTTATTTTTCTGTCAGTAGCCACTCAGCTACTAGAGAGATCTGATTTAATATCAGATCTAGATTTTGGACTGAGAAGAACAGATCAGGAGATTAGTTAAAAGAGGTATGTGGCTGTCAAGTGAGAGAAACTTCACTAGAAAACAGAATTGAAAGGATTTCAGCCCCAGATTACTTTCAAAATTGATCAGCTGCAAGTTTCTTTGTTTTCAAGACTCAAAATGTCTTCAGGCATAGGGGAAGTGACTTTCAGATATTATAGGTCAGGAGAGACCACAACAAACATAGAAAATCCCAACCTATCCAGCCCTCAAATCACCAATGTGAAGCTTCATGAATATAACTACAGGGAGTGGTTGATTTCAACCATGATGTTCATCATCTTCTGAGAACTTTTGGGATATATTTGAAAAATCAAGGAACCTAAGGAGGAAGAACCTAACTATAAGACTTGGTGTAGAGAAAATGCTGCTGTCATGTCTTGGTTACTGCCTTCTGACTCCCAAAATTTCTAGAAAATCCATTTCCCTACAGCCTTCAAGACTTCAGAGAATATGTCAAAAACCTATGGACAACAAAATGGAAAATGGGTCAAGAAAGCTCGAATGAGGAACGTGAACAATTTATCAGGTGTTGAGCCTTGACGTCTTCGCTTGGCCTTACGAGGGCAGGGATACAAACGAGGAGAATTGGGTCGACCTCCTCTTTCCCTAGTAGCATCTGCTGTCCACATACCATCTCGAAGCCCCAGTAGCACCTGCTATTAGATAATCAAGCTCTCTTGCCGGCTAGAGGAAGGGAAAGAAGAAGCGTAGCGTCCAACTTTTTGCCTTGTGAGAAGTTCCCAGCTATAGTCACTGCCATGCCCTTTTGAAAAGCCTCGTCTTAAGATCAGATGCCCTTGCTCGGCTAGTAACTGGAATCCCCTTCCCTTGCATAGAAGGGAGAATTCTTCATACTGGATGTTGACTCCTACTCCCGAAAGAAAAGATCTAAGGCATCTTGGATAAAGTCAGGAATAGATGGCCTGCCTTGGCGGCACATCAGTGTCAAACTTGGCAAGGTAAATCTCCCCAGATTTATCCAACGGCTGTGAAGATTCAAAACTAACACGAATCTCATATGTGTCCAGTTTAAGGGTATTACATAGAAACACACCATAACAACATGAATCAAATATGTACTTTATTCATTTACATTAAATGTCATAATGTACATCATTCTGATTGGAGCTAAGGGCATACACTGTCTAACAACCTACTCCTCTCTCCCTATTCTTTCTCAGGTTTCTAAAGTTTGAATCATATTGGCATGGTATCAGAGCACTAGAGGCATGCAGCTGTCAGATTTTTTTCTCTCCACTCTTTCCTCTTGCTCTGTATCTCCACCTCTCAGATCTAATATCTCAGCTCCCATAAGAAACCAGGGCTGAGAAGATTAGAAAAGGGATGCAAATGGACTCCAAAAGTCCAAAACCTGATATGACAAAAGATTCAATTGATATTCGGGTCTGATTAAATTTTATAATATATTATTATATATAACTTGTAATAATAAATTCAATATTTTATATTTACATAGATCTATTATTATATAAATCAAAAAGTAATTTACTGTCTTTTTAATATTTTAGTTTTTTCTTTATTTTAAAGACATAAAATGGACTTGGATTAAATCTGAATCTTACCAAGTCCAATAGGATCCAAATCCAATTCAAGATCCCTAGATCCAAATGGATTCTGGATCGGATTTGGATTTCAATTTTCAATAATTGGACCGAGTTCGGATAAGATCTAATCCAAATTCAACCTAGTTACAGCCTAGTTTAGTGATTTCAGCAGCTTGAATGGTCACTTGAAGCAACCGCATGGTGGTGTAAAGACCCTCTACTTGATGTTCCAAAGAGGATAATGGTGAACGAAGTGAGTACTACTCAAGATTGGTAGCAGTAGATATATAGAAGTAATATGGCTTCCTCTAATGGTGAATCAAAACTTGGATTGATGGTGTGAAACCATATTGTCTTACCACTGAATTGACTCCATTCAAGTTGAATGCTGAGAAATATGTTCCCTGGGTTAAGTCTACAGAAGCTTTCCTAACACAGAAAACATCAATACCTCCTTGATTCTAAGCCATTACATGGTTCTACTGGATACACTGAGTGGGTCCAAGAAAATGCCCATACTATGAAATGGCTGTGGAATAACATGGAAACTAAAATAAGCATTGATCTTTATGTTCATGAACATGGAAAATGATTTTTTACTGTAAATAGCAATTACAAGAATTACTTTAAACAATAGGTCTCAAAATCACCATAAATAGTAATTAAAATTTACTAATAATTTCTATGATGCCTGAAAGAGTGCCATATTGTGTTGGACTTCAATTTTTAGTGTAAATTTTGTATCCAATACCACCCCCCGGCCAAACAAAAGAAAAACTCAAAATTCTGTTCACTGAAATCTAGTGATTCTCAATTCTCATTATCACCTTCTAGATAGATAAGGTAGATGAAGTTGCATTGTTCTGCCTTATCTTCAGTTATTAAGCATTAAGATATATTCTCTAATCTTTATGTATGTTTATGCTTTATATACATATAACTGTTATCATGTATCCAAATTTTTCCAGCATAGCTACAATATAGATTGCCTTTGCAATATGCCACTTGATAGTGATCTTTTAACATTTATTCTATTTCTAATTTCTCACACTCTCTCTACTTTATCCCCTCCTTGATGAGACCTAAATTGTTGAACTTATCTTGCAAAATTTAATTAACTAACCAAAAGAACTATACTTTTTTTGGATAAATAATAAAAAGAACTATATTGTGCACTATTTTAACGTAACTTAATAACACAGTATGCAACCATACAGTATTCATATTGTATTAATTAAATATCATATCAAATAAGGTTTTTATATAAGAATTATGCCCAAGGTTGGTATAATTGATTGCCTAATAATGACCGTCTAGGCCCTAATGTTAGCTTATGGTTTAATACTTAATTACACTAGAGTGAAGACTAAACAGGACAAGTTATAACCTCAACATTTGTGGTACCATAGAAAATGGTGCATGCAAGTCAAGCCCAATATTTGTAAATAGAAAGTACTCCATTCTGCATTGACAGTATAACAGAGATTGCCAGCATTAATTAGAACTTTGGAAATTTACTCCCTTTTCCTTTTATTTATTTTAATTAATCATGGCATAGGTCACAAGTACACGGAAAGGAAACATGTTTTCTCTTAAAAGGAGGTTGACCTATTCACTTAGTCAGAATAGGAAAACTTTCAATGGCAAAGCTCATGCAAGTATATCAATAAAAGCTAAATGTCAACAAATACTTACTGATTGAAGCAATTCAACATTCTTAAAACATATAATTTCATGAAAAGGTATACACTCGATTGGCTGCAGATAATTCCTGTTTCATAATCCAAGGATTAGCCTTTCCAGAAAAGAAAAAGTATTAGATAATTTACAATATCATTTAGAAAAGCTTATAGTCCTGATGAAACACACCATTTTGTTTCTATGCTTTAATGCTATGTAAGAGAAAAATTAGAACTCAACAATCAAGAAATATCATGGCAGACAAATTACTTTGTTAGGGGTAGGCAACTTATTTAGATTCATATTAAGGGCTTTATTTTTGCATTGGAAATACCACAACAAATGTGTGAAAATTTGAGAGAAAAATGAATTGATTGTATTGTCTTGGAAGGAGCATATACACAACTTTATATAGAATTACAGAGCTAATTTATAGGGTGATAAAATAGGAAACTAACTTTTCCTAAAAAACTAATTTCTATATCAGTGGGATTCTCCAATTAATATCCCATGATTCTATGAAATTAAG